CTACTCTGTAATGAATAGCTATTTAGCATATCAGATTGGAGCTGACTGTTAGGCTTCATAATCTTAGATTCCAGTGTAATGAACAACTATTTAGCATGTTTGACAACACAATCTTTAGCATATCAAATTCGAAGCTCATAAACTACAACAACTACAGTTGTGTTTAACATGTCATCTAAGATACAACAATCACCTTTCCCATTGAAGCAAACCTAGTACAATACAACTACTTCTACATAACAAACTGGTGCTGCCACAAAAGAACAAGCAATATGAAATTCACTACAACAACCACTGTGAAATGATATCGGATCAGACGGATGTCATGAGCCATTCTCCTTCCTTCAACCAGCATAACTTCTTGAGTCTTCATCAACCTTGACAACTCTTCAACCAAAATTCCATTCTCCTTCTTCCTCCTTTCTGCTTTCGACTCGGCTATCCGCAAATTTTCCTCGAGCTTCAGCTGAGAACCCCAATTGTAGAGGTTTCTTCATCCACTTCATCAACCATCCCATGTACCCACCTAAAGAAACCGCAGTTCTTTTTCTCCTTCTGCACCATAAAAGCCAACCTCAAAAAACACATTCACCAAAGGCAACCTCAAATACCAAAAACCAACTTACCTTCCAATATCGGCACCCATAGAACTGTCTGTCTGGGTTCATTTCCGTACCAGAGGTATTAACCACACATGCCACATTGTGTTTGCAAACTACCACCCCATGGCCTTGTGTCGAAGTTGAAGAAGAAGATCTCTTCGACATGGCCAAACAATCTCCTTCCTTCAAATGCAGAGACGAGAATCAACAAAGAAGTTTATCACCTACGACAAATGGAAAGCTGGGTCTGCAAATCGCTTTTGTCGTGAATCTGGGTCGCCGATCGCCAATCGCCACTCGCCAAATCCGCCAGAATCGCAGGAGTCGCCAAAAACCATGAATCTGAAATCTTCACTCGGCGACCCCGATCTTCAATCTCAATCGCCACTCGCCAAATCCGCCAGAATCGCACGAGTATATAGAGTCGGCGGGAGGATCTTAAATCGCCTGGTGGAGGCTCAGTCGGCAGGTGGAGTTTTTGTCGCCGCCAGGGTGCTAACCCTAAAAACGAAAGGAGAAAGGGATTTCGGCAGGTGGAGATTTTGGTCGTCGTCACTCGTCAGTGGTAATATGTGGGATTAGGGTTTTTATTTATTAAAATTAATTTTTTAATTCATTCTTACGTGGCACTTTTGGCGTAGGTGGCGCTTATGTGTCTGCATAGTTGGCGTACAATCAGCTTGCCGTCAGCTATCCTCACGGAGTTATTAACGCCGTCAAAACATTAAACGGAGATGGATAGATTTGGCAAAGAAGAAGTTTAAAACATGGATATAAGTGGTATTTCCGGTTTTTTGGATATTATTGGCACAAACGTGATACTTTTGGATATACAAGTGTATTTAACCTAGATTTTTCTTTTTATTTCTTGCGAATCGTATCCTGCAACTCCCGTCTTTCATCTTCCTCCGATGTGATGTTCTCTTCTCCCTGAAAAGAAAAAAGACTCCTCAAGTTGTCTCCTTTCCAACCGCCTATTACCCTATTTCTCTAACTGTCTGACTCTAACTCTGGAACCATTCCCCCTACCCCGATTGGGCAGTTTTAGTTTCTTGTTGGACCCTTTGGATCCTTCCAATTACCATTCGCTTCATCCATTCGACTTCTCTATGACGGCTTGGTTTTCTCTTCCCGCAACTTCCCGCCATCGATTTTCCCCTGCTTTCACCAAGAACTCTGACGATTCCTTTCCTTGGACCACACACAGTTTACGGCCACCGATTTCCATATCGTTGATGTCAATTTAGCGTTCATCGGTCATTGTAGCGTTAAACTCCACCGCTGCAATTGCTGCTTTCCCACAAACACACCAGTTATCATTTAATACGGCTTGATTTTACCATAGGTAAGATCGTGGTTCTGACCTTTCGCGCGCCAACACGTCATCATGCACCAGCGGAGAGTGTCACGACCTTACTCTCGATCGTGCGGCCCTAGGTGGAAAATCCTAGGAGCATTTCTATGCTACTAGTCTTCCATACATGCCACATGTGCAGCCGCCATGTTGTCACCTTGTTGGCGCCATGTCATCTGCCACATGTGACAAGAGCCATTGGGAAACTTCTTTCACTCCGAGCGTCGTGTATACTTTCAATTCCGTCGATGCTGCCATGCTGGATACTTTTGTTAGTTTGTATACTATAATGTGTTCCCTTCAATGTCCTATTATTCATTTCTTCAATTGGTCTTTGCATTCTTTTTTCATATCTTTTTATTTTTTACTGGCCGGTATTCTTTCTTCATTTCTTACGCAGGGATGGGCAATATTTTATTCAAAGTTCACCCTCTGCAAAATCTAGAAGAGTTTAGTAGCGGCATAATGGACAATATTATCATAGGCTTTTATCAATGATTTCTCATAATGTCCATGATCCCTTCCTCTACCAAATCCAGGTAAAAATCATGAATGATTATCCAAACTGTATTGGTTTTCTGGTCATAAAGTTTGCCTGTGCTAAATTATGTATTTGGCTTCAATGATGAATCTTGCTCTTCCTTCGCCACCCATACAAGGTTTATTATTGTTTCGTCGTCTACACTGGTCATCTAAAATAAAATGGCTTTACCTTTATAGTAAGCAAATCTTCATATAATAGATATCAAAACTAATTGTTAGGAGATTATTTGTAGGTTTTGGTCGAGGGGACTATTTTTATTTTTTTTGGTCGAGGCTATAGGCATAATTTATTGTATTAATTTGAGATGGTCAAGAAAGGAAAGTTGTTGATGGTATTTACATTAGAAGAAATCATATGATATTTATTAAAGTGTCTAATTCACTTAAAAGGTCGTTTGGAACATTTGATTTCGGAAATAGTGTATTACTAGAATACGAGTATTAAGATTATGTGTACACTAAGAATGTGTGGGTCTTAAGAATGATTTGTTTGGAAAAAATAGAATAATGCATAGATTATGCATGGAATGAACTATGGATAATAAATCTCACAAAAAAGGTGAGATTAAGTATACATAATTTTGTATGTATTATGAATACATCATGCATTAATTCTCTATACATGGATTCTATGATTAAAACAAGTAAAGAATGTTGTATTCTATGGAATACATGTGTACTCAGAATACGACGTTTAGAATCGAAGGTTACAAACGATGCTTTAGTTAGGGGAGTTTATAATGCTTATGTATTCCAAAAAATGCATAATTTGCTTTGCTTTATGTTTAGGTGGTCTAAATGAGTAAAAACACTTTCTATATCCAAATCATTAATCAGAAATGGTGTATATTAGAACATTAGTTGAGGAATTGAAGTTGAATTTTATTAAAAAAAAGTGTAAAATAAAAGGAATTTTTTTTGTTAATGATATATATTAAAAACAAGGAAAAGAAATTAGACGTTAGAAGACAAAAAAAAGAATAAAAATGAAAAGGCTGTAGACAAACAGCAGCAGCAAAACACCAGCACACCATGGAAGGAGGGACAACAGGAGATTTAATAAGGAAAAGAAATAAGAGGAATTTCAGTACTACACGAACAAAGTGACAATACACCAATCCCTTCAATATCAATCCAGCCAACGCCATTATAAAAAAAAAATTCCGACCAACGGCCGGGCTCAATGCTAGTTTAATTACATATGCAATTACAAGTTAATTGCATTGATATAAGTGAATAAAAGTAAAAGTGAGTTTGTAAAAAAATTGAGACAATAAATAGCAGAAATGCAGTTACTTTTGCAATTGTATTCATGTGGATACTCACTAATACGTAATAATCCCTACATCACAATTGCTCATCTTATTCAAAAAAATTGAATTACAATAAGTCATTTTTCTAATTCTTGAAAAATCTATAGGCTCGTAGCTACCATTTTTCTTTTTCGACACTTTAAATTTATTGACTTGTGCACGTTGGCACATTATAATTTATTAGATGGTTGTGGGTTCAAAGTTTGAACCAAATAAGATGAATTGTTAATTTATTGTCATCTGACGCACTGATTCAATTCTGCCAACACATTGTTCAATAGTATTTTGTGTTTTTCTGAGAAACGCAAATATTTATAAAAGAATAACGATAATTGAAGATTTAGCAAAGGAGGTGCATAAATTATGGTAACTTTTTTTTGGAAACCCGTTGCTTTTTTTATTTTGCTTTAATGATTGAATAAGTACATTTTCGTTATGAAACAAATTATTTCTTTTTGTAAAGGAATAAATGCTTAATTTGAGTGGAAGCAAGGTATAAGAAATTTAGGTAGAAAGAAATAGTTTAGAATTGCAAAGTCTAATTACATAATCAATATTTTGTCTGCCTTTGTGGACCTTGCCTCATAAAAGAAAGGTATAATAAGAGGAAAACAAACGGTGCTTAATATTGACTTTTGCCATTTCCATTTTGCCACTCCAGACCCCACACTTTTCCCTTTTCCTTTTTGGCTTAACAAATTGAGTTGTAAAATTCCATAAAAGAAAATTGAGTTGTAAAGTGCTAAAGTCTAAAATGATGTTGGTAAAGCATGCCCTCAATTTAGTATTTGATTAAAATGATCACTTAACTTCGATCTGATAACAAAATGATCATCAAAATTTAAAACGTCGGATAAACCAAATATGAATATATGACAACAATAAAATTGTTTTGTTCTGTACTTTCTTTCGCTACATGAACGAGTTTATCTAGAAAAATTTACGCAGAATCTTTCCAGGAATTTCAACATTCAAGCGCCTCTGTATGTGTGTATTTTTTAAATTATAGGATTTTATACATCTTCTATTTTTATTAAAAAGGTATTGTAATATCAAAACAACAGATAATATTTTTTATGTGTGTTTAAGGTTGTAATTTGCGAGCTTAAAGTAGTGTGATTTGATGCCTTCCTTGAATAAAGAGCTAATTTACCATTGAATTCCAAACTAAAAGACTTTCAAAGTATACATCCTTTGTTCTTACAAGTTACACCGTACTCCATGCATCCCAAACATACACATGGACCACAAAACAATATGGCTAGCTTGTTCATCGTTGCTTCTAGTTCTAGTTTCTTCCATCGTCCTTCCGAACTACAAACGCGAAGCAACTTGATATTAAACTGTAAGTATTACTTGTCTTCTACGACTACAAACTCTGATCAAGTGCTTTAGTTGTCTAACTAGCTATTTGGTATAATGCTCCACGATTACAAACAGGCGTACATTAGATCTACAAAAGCTCAAACCCCATCAAAAGCTTCACATTCTTCAACTTCTCGCCTTTCTTATCGTGAAGATGGACTGATCGGATCCCTTGTCTTAGCTCGGAGACAGGCAAACATGTCTGCCCACCAAAATCATCTTTCTCGGACATGTCATATTCCCGGACCTCGATTCGAAGCAGAGCTAGCTCTGGAAGCGTTAATGGGAACGTGAACTCTTCGTTCCATACGGGCGACCAATTGTCCTCGATGATCCTCGTTTTCTTTCGTGTCGAATCAGCTGCTGCACCAACAATGTAAATCTGCACACATATGTTGGATAACATGACGATCCATTATCGAGTTCTGAAATGGGTTTCATACCACTATAAGGTCTAACCTCGGTAAAGAAGCGATATTTGTGGGACAAATTTTTACGCTTCAATGTGATTCGAGTGTTTATTTGGCCGTTAAAGTCAATAAATTCAATTCATCAGAAAAACACAGTGATAGAACTACCTTAGTGTAGAAGTCTGGTGGTGAATAAGCATCAAAGTGTGTGTGGCTAAAGTCCAAGCGCCATCCATCACCCAAATACACCTTCACCTATGAAACAGAATGAATGAAAGTCTAAAAATGACATCTTCTAGGGTACACGATCGAATTAAAATTCAAGAGTAGTAACCTCACCTTTAATCGTTTCTGCACTAACAATTTTTTCTTAGGATCGAAAACCTCACTATTGATGCCTTTCTTCATTAACAAATCAGGCTTTTTCACGTACCCACATCCTCCATTAGCCTTAAACATCCCATGCATCAACCAAAGTAATTTCCCATATCCCTACATAAGAACAAAATCATAAAAAAAAATTGGACATGCCTTCTAAACAATAAACACAAGGACTTCTGCAACGTGACTACGTGAGATCACCTGCATGTTGAATGCTATCATTTGTGCCCCATGCATCCATCCCACCATCGGCTTGTAATTAGAGGATGTGATTCGTGTTCCCTTTGGATAAACTCTCAATATATTCTTCTGCGTAAATCTGGAAAAAAGGCAGTCCATGTGTAAGATAGGTTGTTTAAAATCTTAGAAATTTCTATGGCATCGATCAGAGAGTCTTTGACAGTACCTAACTACATCGGTTCCATTAGTAGTGGCAGCCTTCTCAAGCTCCTGCTCGCTCAAACTAAGTCGTCTAACTTTTTCAGCTGCAGGCTGCAATGCATCTTTTAAGGCACCCTTTGGTTTCCCAGCATGAATGGTAATAAGCCTTTTGTACCCTGGAGAATTTAGTTGCCCTGATGTTCTGCAGTCACTCGGATCTTCATCTTCCTGCTCACTGCTGCTCTGCAGCATATATGGATTCATGCAATTTCATTGCAAGATTCATCCAGTAAGATATGAATAATGAGTATTAGTCACATAGATTCACTATATGGATGTAATTAGTTACCAACCCACCGGCCTCCCACAATTGGCTTCTGTTTCGGAAGTTCCAATCCCATCTTCGTCATCATCATCATCCTCAGACCCATTATCTCGCGGAGTTCCCTTTTGTTTGATGCCGCTCGATTCAAGATACTCTTTTGGTGGTTTGGTCGAGATCATGACTCGATATTTCAGTAGCTCTGGTGAAGGCAACTGAATCAAGCTATCTGACTCTGGGTAATACAACATGTCCCCAAAAATCTGAACCAACATCTACACATTATTCAAACCTATTACTAATTAGCCACCATAAAAGCAAGAGCATTTCAAAAGTGTAATGAAAGGATGACATTCAAGGGAATACGAATCAACCTCTGCAACTTTCTCCTGAAGCTCTGGCGTAAGGTGATCTTCCAACGTGATGATGACCGGATAAGGAGAGCGGACGAATGCGTAGTCTCGTATTGACTTCAAGCATTTGAAGAGCGACACAGGCGTGGTCAAGGTCCTATATAATTCATTAGCTTTCATCCTCTACCTCTAAACACATTGATTCAATCAGGCTTAACCGAAACTATAAATGGGTTATATGTATGTACTATTTACCTTCCGTGAAGAACAAGGACCTCATCCTTAGACGAATTAGGCCATAAATCTAGCTCAATCACCCTAACCCCTCTTTGTAAAGCTCTTACAATGGGGACCTCGCTGCAATCGCTGCTGAGTTGATTCCCAGTTAGGTAGGAATTATGCCCTGTATATATGAAATAATGTGACAATGGCTCACACATGTCATGGTGCACCTGTTATCACATTATGGAAATTCTCTGTCAACATATCGAAAACCCTAAATAAAAAAAAAATTCCCTTATGAATATGTAATGCAGTTACAAATTTCGTTTCACCTGTTTGTTGATAGGGCCATTGAGGTCGTCGGAGAGCAAGAACTGGAAGAAGTCGTCGAGCTTGAGGCCATTCCTCGCGTACCTCGTCAAATGGTGCCTCCGGTGAAGGACTTCGGCGACGAGCCTCTCGGCTTCCTCGAGCGTGCAATTGGGCTCGCTTTGGTGACCCGCAAGGAAGCTACGGAACTGATCAACGGTCATCTCGTGATGGCCCTCCGAATACTGGGCGAAGAGGTTTTGGACGTCGGCCGGCGGCTCGGGCTCCGTGATTTTGAACTTCCGGTTGAAGAAGCTGAACATCCGGTAGTTGTAGCTACCCTTGTTGTCATTGATGTTGTCTTCGTCGTTGGAGTACTCTGCCATCTTGTCCTTCTTCCCCATTTTGTCGTTGAATGGTCGAGCCCCCCAATACCCTTTCTCTCTGATCTTGGATCTTTTTTCTTTTTCTGGGTATTTGGGAGACAAGGAGAGGGGGAAAGGGAAGAGGGGGAGAGAAAGTGACGAGATTTGGGAGCGGGCTAGAATAGAGAGTTAGAAAGCTCAAATCGTGGGAGGCTTATTTCATGTTAATGATGTCAATCTAACAAACGTCTTTCTTTTTTGTGGTCTTCTTCAGTTTTTTTTTTTTTTTTTTGTTTCATGTCGCGTTGATGAGTCTTTTGTTTCGTTGGGGGTGTCTAGTTTGTAAGGTCTGGTCTATAATGAATAGAGTTAGATTAAAAGCGTGTTTGGGATAATTTAGATTGGATTTAATTTAATTTAAATTAAATGCGTTAGAGATCCAGTATATAACGAATAGAGTCAGATTATAAGCGCGTAAGCTAAATATTATGTAGTCGTAGCTCCCCATTGTTGTCGTTAACGTTTGAATGCATGGCCTTTTTGTCCTTCCCACGTTATTGTTGAATGGTCAACGTTCCAATACCCTCTTGCGGGCCATGTTGTTATTGGTGGCCTAATTCGAGATCATACAGGACGCTGCTAGACAAAGCTCACTCTTAATTTGGGGATGCGCTCCATCACCGAGGTTGAGTGGAGGGGGGTGATTTAGAGGGTCTTCAACATCGACGGATTCAGCACATAGTAGAACACTGAGCCTCATTTACATAGAAAATTAGATACTAACTAGCACTGGGTCGAAAGAGACGTTGAGAGCTAGTGAAGCAAACATGTGTCATTTGCGATACTAGTATGGACCCAAATAAGGGTTGGGCCGTGGCCCGAGTTGGCCTCCCCCTAGATCCCCTACTGACCTTCAGTTGGCTTGACATGTTGTCCATAAGCGAATCACAGTACAACTTGATTCCCGCTGCAAAGTACAACTGCTTCAAAGTTCAGACAGGAACGACTATCAGCATGTGGCAGTCATCCTCCGCTTCAGGGGGCTTAATCATGGCATGAGATTGGGATATAGAAATCTCTAGTAATTATAGAGAGGGTATCAAGAGTAGTCATTATTTGGCTAGTTGGGGGCACAACTTGCCTTTGGAGTTGCATTGTATTTCGATGCTTTATCATCTCTCATGGTTTTAAATGTAAGTTGGGTGTGAGTTACATCCATTTATATATGAAAAATCATTTGATTTATATTTTTCTTTATTTATGAGAGGTTATGTGAAATCATAATTGAATTCTATTGTATTTGATTCAAATGTCAATTTAATCTTTCATAATAATGATGAGTTGCACGAAAACAAATTTGATAATTAAGGAGGGTTATCTTAGTCAAATGAGTAACCTCATTATGTTTGTTGGTTTGCACCTTAATAAATGAGTGGAGGAGCATATTGTGATGTTGATTTGCTAAATTTGATGCAGATCTGACTTCTTTTTTTTTTGCGAAGAGGGAGGCCAAAGCCAAGCAACAAAAGATTACATGGGAGAGTTAAGAGAAGGGGTCCGAGTGTGTGACCACACGCCGCTCGAAAGTGGTACCGATGTGTCTTCCCAAAGAATGTGAGTTAAACCTGGAGGCGGGTTAATCAGCTCATGCGTACCGTAGGGATAGATGAGACTGTGCTTCGAGAGCCAGTCCACGACTCTATTCCCTTCTCGATACATATGAGTGATGCTAACCAACCAATCCTGGCTTAACTTCCTACGAATTGCCGAGAGTAGGTTGGCATACGGGTGAACCGGATCATGTCTGCTGGAGATGAGCTGAATAGCCAAGCAGGAATCTGATTCCACCTTCAGGTGCCTGCACCCAGTGTTCCAAGGGAGATCGAGGCCATAAGAGAACGCCCAAAGCTCATCTAGAGCCGTCGACATTGTTCCAATATTCGCAACAAAACTGGAGACCCACTGCCCAGAGAGTCTCGGATAACACCTCTTGCCACAGCTGGTCCTTGGTTCCCATTTGACGCTCCATCGATATTGAGAGTTCTCCAACCTTCCTAGGGAGGTCTCCATCCGATTAAATCCATAGTCCTTGCTGTTGTGCCCTTCCTTCCACCGGGTAGACGGGAGGGAGCCTCCCAGGCCTCATGCCACAACTTGGTTTTCGCAACTATGGAGTGGGAAAGCGAAGGTGAAGAGAGAACCGCACCAACCCCTTTGAAGACATAGGTACAATCTGTTCTTCCAGAGGAGCCATACAGCGGTACTGAAGTAAGCCGCCCAGCTCATTCTTGTGTCCAAAGAATCACTGCAGAAAAGGTTATCTAGGATCCAAACTGTCTGATTATTGTTGAAGAAAATACTTTGTCTTTGGGTGGGAACCTGACGAGTCCAGAAGTAACAGGCCGGGGGCAGTCGTGGAGGATGTGGAGGACAATTTCATGCTGCCCATCACACCTGCTGCAGCAGGGGTTGTCGGCCACCTTACGTGCATATCTGAGAAAATTGGTGGCGAGTTTTCCCATGGCTTCCATCCACATGAAAGCTCTAATGCATATATGACTAGTTAGTTAGAGCTCAATCAGTACAACGAGACCCCATTCAATGATAATCTAACAAAAATTAATATTAGGGACTTGATTGCAAATTGTAAGAAGATGTGGGAACTACCACAAAGAAAAGGATAACTGGATAAGGAATTTCAACGGAAATTTTCCCAAAGGAAAACCGTTATTCATGTTTACAAAGTCCAGGGAGCTGTTCGTAATTTTACTTTCCTCTTCCTGCCGCCTGCCGGTGGTGGTGACCAACTAACTACTCAAGTCATCACTCATCAGTCGTCGCGTCGTCCGGCAGCCTAAAGAGGGAAAGAAGATGTCAACCACAACGCGGCTGATCTCCGGCGCTCTCATCTGGATCATTGTTCTCTTTGGAACCCTAGCTTTCATCCAGGTACGCCGCCCGGCCATCGTCCCTCCTCTCCATTTCTTCAATTAGCGAGAGAAGTAGACGAATTGGTTAGGTCGAGAATGGAAATCGAACTTCAAATTGAGCGAAACCAGAGCTCAATTCGTCTTCGTATTGACTATGTCTGAATCCGATTGGTCTTTTCTCCCCGAACTTGCAGCATCGATTAAGCGATCCTGGAATTTCATTGGAGTCCAACAAAGCCGGAGAGGTATGGATTTTCTTCTTCTTTCGGCCATTACGCTTCTCTGCACTGCTTGCTAAAAGTGGGGGGAATTTTCGCGGGTTTGGAGTAGGAGAAGAAATTGGGAGAGGGTTTGGAAGAAGAAGTGACTCACAAAGTATACTTCGATGTTGAAATCGGCGGAGAAGCTGTGGGTAAGAAGGTGGCTTCCTTCTGATTGCATCTGATTTCTGATTCGAGATCGAACCCTAATACCCCATTAGGTTCTCTGGTCATTTCGATAGCTAACTGCGCTTTTTGCCCCATTTCGATCTCAGGCCGCATTGTGATGGGTTTATTTGGGAAGACAGTCCCAAAGACTGCAGGTAAACGAGCTGATAGATCAGTGGAACACAATGTAGTATTTCTTACTGTTCTGGAAAACTTGTGAACGGATCTCTAACTGTTGTTTGTTTGTTGCAGAGAACTTTCGAGCACTATGCACCGGTAGCCAAGTAACTCTTGTTCCCGTTTGCTTGAGGTCTCGAAACCTTTTTAGTTGTGCTGGTTTTTACGTATTTATTGTAATCCGATTTCAGGGGAGAAAGGGAAAGGAATGAGTGGGAAGCCTCTGAACTACAAAGGGAGCACATTCCATAGGATCATACCTCAGTTCATGATCCAAGGAGGGGATTTCACGAGTGGTGATGGACGTGGTGGAGAATCAATCTACGGTGGGAAGTTTGAGGATGAGAACTTCAAGCTGAAGCACACCGGGCCAGGTAATCTACTATAGAATTCATGGTTTAGCACTCAAAGTTTCTGCAATCTGAGTACAAGTTGGACTTTAACAAAAACCCTGAGAAATCTAATTCGCCAAAAACAGGAATGATGTCGATGGCGAATTCTGGGCCGGATACGAATGGATCCCAGTTCTTCATCACAACAGTTGTAACCAGCTGGTAAAGATTCAGTCTTTCGTTTCCGTTCTTGCCTTGCCTGAGTAACTGCAGCTCAACTCACAGTTTCTTTTTCCCTTCTCCACACCGGGATTGGACAGGTTGGATGGGCATCATGTGGTGTTTGGGAAGGTGCTTTCTGGGATGGACATTGTGCAGAAGATCGAAGGCCAAGGCCAAAGCAACGGTGTCCCCAAGAGCAAAGTCGTCATTGTAGACAGCGGCGAAATGCCCATGTAAGTGTAAAACTGAAACAAGTCTTTCTCCTGTTTTTGGCCCTTCCCTTTCCACACTCAGAAGAAAAGGTGCTTTCCTATTCTGTACACACCTGGTGTAACTGACTAACTGTAACTTGATCTTTCTATACGCCCTGGCATGGAACATTATACTACTCTGCCACCTTCTGTCTCAATTCTGCTATCCTCCTCATGCAGATAAGCGTAACGAAATCGTTAAATTTTTCAATCGAGAGTCGAATGGTTGTGCCATAGCTGGTTCTGTGTATCGCGAGCATCACAATCATCCAATTCTCGACTGACTAGCTAAGAACTCGTATTAACGTCCTATTTGTCTACTCCTTCCCTCATCAGGAAACATAAGCAAGAAACACAGTAAACCACACCACAAAAGCAATCAGACAACACCAATTTTTAACAAGTCAAGAAGCTTCTTCTATTATTCATTCCACTTGGTTGACTTACTAAAACAAAGGCAAAGACAGAGATCTGTTTATTAAAGCTTCTTAGGCCTTGGTGCCGCCGTGGCGGCCGTCAGCGTCCTTGCCGTTCCGGTGACGGTACGAGGAGGCGAAATTCGAGGAGAGGTCGGAGTAGAGGGAGGACACGGTGGAGATGTTGTGGTTGATCTCCTGGATCAGCGGCACGTTCTTGGCCATGTTGTCGGGGATTCGGGACTGGTGGTTGTCGTTCACCTGCTGAATCAGCGACCTGTTCCTGTCCAGCACCGTCTGCACCTTCCGAAACGTCCCGCTGAAATTCGCCCACACCTCCCCGTCTCCTTCCTCGCCGTCGGGGCGGTCGTTTCTGTTTCCGTCGGCCATGCTGGGAATTTGGGCGGCGGAGCGGTGATCTATTGCGGTTGGTGAGATGGGATGAGAAAGGGGAAGGCAGATTGTGGGGGGAAGTTTACGGGGACTGGCAATTTTTGTAATGGGGAAAGTGCGGAGAGAGAGAGAAAAGAGGGCCGACGCGAGAAAAGAGAGGGTGGTGAAGTGAGGAGAAACGGTGGCGCGTGATGGACCAAGTGGTGACGACACGCGCAGGTGGTGCGATTGGGGGAAGCGAGGTGGATAAATATCTTATGCCGATTTGGATTTTTTTTTTTTGACGAATGCTGATTTGGGATTGGAAGGACGGAAAAGAGCGGTGGTATCTTACTATCTTACGCTTTTCTTACACTTTTGGCACTTCGAATATTTTAGATATTTTTTTATTGTAAAAAAAAGAGAGAATATTTTAGATATTTTGCCATAGGAAATATCTCAGCATGGTAAAATATATAAGCATGGTCAAAGTCTTTTGTTACATCATTGGAAATTCATATCCAATCCATTAATATGAACCCAATAAGCAAAGCAGTTAAAATCGGAATTTTACCAAAAATCGAAAACTTGGGTAAAATAGGAATCGTAAAATCGTAGGATTTTAAGTTCCATATAGAAACTAAGATATAATCATATTAATAAAGTAAACCATTACTAACACAAAATCACATAACATTGAAAATGATAATTCTCAAGATTAATGTTCCAAGATCATCATTTTAAATCTAATTATTATTTAATGCATAACTAAAATAATTCACGAGGAAATGATAGAGCTCATGGAGCTTGGCTCTTGTTTTTCATGTTGTGTTAGGTAGTTTAACTCAAAGTAGTTCTCGGGTCAGGTTAATTTCAACATTGTCTGTTAATCATGATTTAAAACTAATATTATATGAACTCCAATTGAATAATTAATGCTAGTGGCTTGGCAAAAATGTATTAATTAATCAATTAATGAGTTAATAATGATATTAATTCTTCCGCACGTACAATATTAGGAAAACTATTTTGCCGATGAGTTCAACGGGATGAAGGGAAGAGAATTACCGAGCCATAATTTGGTTATTTTTTTATTTTCAAATTTTTTTTAATAGGAAAAATATTTGAGAAGATCCCCATCATTGCCCTTTTGGCCAAATCAGTTCTGCTTTTTTAAAATTTGCTCAAACAGCCTATTTTGTTCTCATACGATTTTAATCCCGATTTTAAACGATTTTAAAGTCCACCGATTTTATAGTAAAATCAGGATCGGAATCCCGAAGTAAAATCCTAAAATCCTACGATTTTACGATCAAAATCCCGATTTTGACTGCTTTGCCAACAAGGTAAACAAATTTTGGACCCCTTAAGAGATATAAACAACATATAAAAAGCTCACACTTCAAACGATGAAGCAAAGATAAGGCCCCCCCCCCCCCCCAAAAAAAACATGGGTCAATTACATGTCTGATTACTTCATTTATCAAAATGTTACGCATTGTATATAAAAAAATTTCTTAGTGATAAAAGTTAGATTGAGCGATCGAATGTGCAATTTATCCCTACTAAATCTTGCAAGTCCAAAAAAAATTCCAGATGGAGGGGAGGGTATCAGACGCATAAAAGAAAACAACAATACTAACAGAGCAACCGTCAGAACTACAAAGAGATGTCAACGAAAGGAGGATTCCGGCGTCCTAGAAATTTGTTAGAAATCGATTTCTTTAGGGTTTCTATATTTATTATTATAATTATTATTAGGGCAATTATCAATAAGGTTAGTAGTCTTTTAGTCGAATTAGGTTTATTATTAGGGTTTTGTAGTATTTCCCTATATATATGTACTTTGGGTCTTTCATCAAATTAAGCAGAAATTAATAGAAAAGTCCTCTTTCCCCAAATCCCTAATCTCTTTCTCTCAAATCTCGTCTATCCTTCTTCCTAGAGGTTTCGGCCGTTCTTTCTGTTCTTCCCCAATTTTGTTCCTAATCCCAATTCTTCTTCCAAATCCCTAATTCTATCTTCTCGATCCCTAAATTCCCAAATATCACCCAATACGAATCCCGTTAGAAACTTTGTTTCTAACAAAATTGTCAGGTAGCAAGTCACTCCCATAGAAACATGAAAAATCAAACCTTAATGAAATAATGCAATCTGACAAACCAATGCAGTCAAAATCGCACTTTAAAACTTAAAAACTTACGATTTTACGCTTTTGGGTCACCAAAACGCTTTCGTTTCCATATAAAAACTTAAGTGTATAAAATCGGACTAAATTGCGCTTTAAAACTTAAAAACTTACGGTTTTACAGTTCTAGTTCACCAAAACGCTTTACGTTTTTACGCTTTTAGTTCGCTACATGAGTATTCTTTTCATGAAATTAATTATAAAAAGTATATTTTTAAAGTAAATCACTAACAATATGATACATTTGAGATTAAAAGATACATACTAGGTACTTGGATGCATTCTACTTCAATAGAGTAATCTAATTCACCAACTAGGGTTTTCCCATATTCATTAGCATAGAGGGAAAAGTGGCTTATCGTTAAAATTTATGTTTACGAACTTATTATTAAGATGCTATAAGTTGCTCTACTTTAAACATGAATCACATGTATTTATTAACTTATCTAAATTATGTGCATTCATATTTTGCCTAGCATATGTCCTACTTAATAGATTTTTAGTTATTTTTCAGTTTGCGTCAAAAACTTACGCTTTTACGCTTTGATTCTACGTTTTACGATTTTACCCCTTTTCCGCTTCTAGGTAGAATCGCGCTTTTGACTGCATTGTGACAAACCGTTGAGAGAACCAAGAAAACCGATAAGGAGCCCATATTGATTGATTTCCGCCTTTGAAACATCCAACCGGAGTGATGGAGCAAGGTGGAGGATAAGAGACATGAGAGAGATGGCAATTGAAAAATCCTAACCTTCTCTGTCACCAAATAACATCTTAATGTTCATATCTGAAAGATCAGACATGAGTAAGAAACACTCATCTTCAGAAAGAGGGGCAGTCTCTACTCTCTCGTAGAAAGGCATGCTATAAGGCCCATGCCCAGGCTCAATTCCCTACGGCCCGTGGACATCTTCGCTTGGGCCCGAGCCCGAATAGTCTAGCACAGGCACAGCTAGCTGCTATTCGCCCCCAGTAATAGAGACTAATAATCATGCTGTAGAGCCGTAGAGGAGACTAGGCGAAATAGAAACTCTGGACATTTATTCATGAGTTCTGATTGAATGTAGTACAAATAAACACTAACCAGGATCATAAATTGATGTAGAACTACTGTTATGGTCCTATCAAACATCCAGTAGCTATGTATGGACATTGGAGATCACCTGCCTGCTTCGACACTGTCAGGCCTGTGGCATGCTACAGCAGCGTTACTTTACTGACGAGGATTTCACCACAAAATCGGAGTTCTGCACAATCTTTCTTTCTACTCAGCTGGTTTTCTTTTCCTTCCTAGAATTGAAGCTCTCTGCAATCTAGGACCTCCCATTCTCCATTTCCTAAAGGCTGCCATGGAGGATTGAGCTGCTTCATACACTATCCAATGAGGGCCAAATGCAGAAAAGCAAGATGTCAACTTCTTTGAGTACAGTAGGGCATGGAAAGGGAAGATTGAAAAGCTGAGGTGTAGGGACTAGGGAGACAGAATCTCACAATTGGTTTCTTCTTTGGTTAGGAAGTTCATGATTTTGGATGCTGCTGCAAATGCTTTTGTGTGTGCCTTGTACAGAACCTCCTTGTACCGGGCTTTGAACGTGTATGACACCAATAGTCCAATGCTCTTGTCGCAACTGTGCCGCACAAACAAGAAATAGCAAGTAAGAAGGTTAGTGATATCCATTGTGATACAAAGCACATCAATGCTTCTGATGGTTAGCAGAATGATACTTTCAAGTCCGGGGAAAAGAATCTAATTGCTCCCATTAAGAAGCATATTGTTATATCTGTGCCACCTTGAAAGATCAAACACCTTCACATGGTTCTAGTATATTAAGCAATACAAGCAAATCGGCTGAAGCATCAGGAAAGCCAAACCATGGAGAGCACATTCTGTCGGAACTAGAAGTGCACCAAAACAATGGCAACAATGCTTGTTTCACGCTATTTGAGTGCAGCAATCATGCTACAAGGAAACGGATGTGCTGAAAGGATAACTGTCTCTTCAAAAACAGCAGGCCAAAATGAACGTAACGTTTACTCTGAAATTCAGGGTAATGTTAATGTGAGAGACTTACAATGGTGCTACTTTACACCCAAATTCGTAGAAGTACGAACAGCGAGATCTTAAATCAACGGATCCAGCATCAGCCTCGATTTCTAGCCTCGTACTGCCAAAAAAAATACAGATCAGTTAGATGGAGAAAAGAAGTACACAAACGAGGAAGCATACTATGTATGTATGATAATGCTCAGAATCAGGTCAGTCCAAATGACTGGACCAATCTATCAGGTAAAAACTTCAGAAAACGGATTTTGAATTATTTTTCAGGTAAAAATTCCTTCATCCTCCAACTGAGAATGTACAGAGACAAAAGGGAAATCTAAACAAATAGAGCAAGAGGGTCAAAGCCGTTACTTTCTATTGAAACAAGCAGGAACTTTGATTGATATGGCTTGTTGCAAGTGTAAACCCCGCGCTAGCCAAAACGGCAGCTCTGCCTTTGAATCTTGTTCAACCTGAGAACACCATATCAGAAAACACTCAGCTTACTTTCCCTCTTTCAACATGCATTCTCCCCACACCATGACAGAACTTACAAAGCCTCTTTCCGAACTTTCGTCAATTTTCACCCCATTCACCGCCTTGTGGAACTGAACTGGCACGAACTGTAATCAACATCATAAAAAAATGAGAATCAGCAGCAGTACATGAATCAAAGTTATACATACACAGTACAGAAAGTGTTCTCACATCTTCCTCGGCAAGAATGTCATCAATGTCATAGTAATCCCCCATTTGTTACTACTCTTTCTCCCCTCGAAGTCTCGCTGTTTCCTGCAAGTCACGCCTTCTTCACACCTTTGAGATTTGAACTATGGGTACGCACATTTCACGCGAGCCCAATACCCAGAATCAAGAACTCACTTAGCTCTCTTCCCGAACCAAAATTACTACTCTATAGTGAGCTTCCACTTTCGAATTCCGAGCGTTTGATACAAAGCCAAATCAATAGAACTTGGGAGAAGAAACTCTAGTTCAATTTCAGCTGCAGCCTGAAATTCATCGGGGAGGATAACAATTCAGCATGGGGTTAACGACACTAAAGCACGAGGCGGCAAATCAAGAACGAGAAAACGGATCCGGCGCATCAAGTAGGTGGTCGGCGAGAGAACCCTAGAGTAGGAGGAAAAATTGGAATTGAAACACAAACTCACAGATATATTCGCATTTGAACTGAGGGATCGAAGCAGGAGTTTCGCTGGTGGGCAAATTCCTCTGAAATTATCGCCTGTGAAAATTTTCTCGGCAGCGTTTGGCTAATTGGCTTGGTCGGATTCAGCCCAACTTGTGAGAAAGAAGGGAGGAGCGTGTAACCATTTGATAACAAAACTTTTTTACTTAGAACAAAACAATCACAAATTAAACAGTGTGACCATTTCATACCAGTTCAAACTTTTGCTACCGTGTCGTTGCAAATTAGACTTTTGGTGACCGTTTTGTACAAATTAAGTTCAAAAGTTTGAACGCTCAATCACCGTTACAATTCACTCTAGTTGTATGGTGGTTTTGTTCATGTACGTGAATGATATTATGTTGTTTAGGATGACAATGAGAGAATTCAAGGCTCACAAACGGGTTCCAGACTGCTTTTTAGTTGAAAAAACTATGTCTAGTTTCTTACTTTCTTGGTATCGAAATTGAAAGGTCAACTGACGGCATTCTTATTCGGAAAAGCAAATATGTCGATGAACACATGACCTGACATCTTATATGTCGTTCAAGTGGTTAGTGTCATATACTTAACGAACAAACTACCCGACCTCAAAACATGACAAACATTTAATTTGTAACGATTCGGTAACAAACCTTTGCACTTAAAACAAAACAGTCATAAATTAAATAGCGGTGACCATTTTATACAATTTCAAAGTTTTGTTACCGTATTGTTACAAATCAAAGGTTGTGACCATTTTGTACTAAGTCCAAAGGTTTGTTACCATTTATACTAATTACCCAAGGTTTAAACGAGGATTTGAAATCAACCTGACTTGCGTTGTGAGGCTATGACTCGATCTGCAATGGCATCGGAAGGGATATGGATTACTACTCTCGTTCTGTCTGCCCCATCCTGCCTTATTGACTCGTCTTATCTCAAATTTTCTTAATATATATTTGTAATTCAGAAGGTTTTATCCTATCTCGTCTTATTTCAAATTGTCCACTAAGACATAGCGTTCACTCATCAAAAGTTAGGGTATAATATCATGACCCAAAATCCGATCAATTCGAGATTTAGATATAATTTTCTTACTCAAGATATATTATATCTTTGATTTCACTCATAAAAGCGACCTTGTAATTCTCTTATTTTGACTTTTTCAATCATATTAAGATAATAAAACTTTTAAAAAGATGCAATAATTGACCTTTGAATTATTTTGCCTCAATTACTTATATTATTTTCAATATATTCACTTATTAAGTGTTTTTCTTTGTTTTATCGTAAAAAAATAATTTTTAATATTTATTTTCTTCAAATAGCATGTGAGAATGAATCGATCTGCCCTGACTCATCCTCCTCCACATATATATAATTAGATTCTCGATGAAAAGCTACTCAATTCAACTTATGCATTTCAATTTTTTGGTCCATGAGCTATTTGGGGATATCGCTTGGACTTTTATTTTCTGTTTCCCGCGGCTCACCACTTTTATAAATTTACAAGTACAACTAAATATAAAAATTAATAAATTATTATTTTAACTACTTAAAATTAAAATGTGTACTAACTATGGCATATGTGTTTAATACGTGAAGTATCAACCAAACAAAAAATAAAAGAGACAACTCTATATTAGTACACAAATGAGAACTACATTACGTAATACTAATTATGAGCATAGTATGCTCACAGTCGGGCAAATATGCCCCTATCGTCTAGTGGTTCAGGACATCTCTCTTTCAAGGAGGCAGCGGGGATTCGACTTCCCCTGGGGGTAGGGTATTACGAAAGGAAGTTGTCATGGATTATTAATAAGCCTGGAATTGATTCTTCCTGGGTCGATGCCCGAGCGGTTAATGGGGACGGACTGTAAATTCGTTGGCAATATGTCTACGCTGGTTCAAATCCAGCTCGGCCCAATAACAATAATTCATTGATCCGCCATGAAATTATCGTTTTGTAACCTTTATATAATAGAATGTTCATTTTATGTAACAATTGTAAAGTGTCATTGCGGAACCCTTATATAATGAACGGTCCTTTTACGTAACGATTATTAATCTTCTACGAAAGAATATTGTAACTCATTAGAAAGTTTTACTTAACGCTTCTGACTTAGCTACTATGTAAGAATTAACTATCATTTTATAGCATATACAAAATAGATGTGTATTTTATATTTTACGTAACGATTGTAAAATATCATTATGAAACCAAACTTGAGTTGTGGATACAACCAAATATGATTTTGTTGTCTTGAAGGTCGGATTTATAGGGTTAATGCTGAAAAGCTATTAATAATAATGGAAGAATAATACCTCTCTACCTTATTTCTTACTAGATGAGTGCCCGGCCCGTTGGCCGGATTATTATTAATTTCAATACATTTTTCGCCTAATTTTATTTAGTTATCAAACGGAAAGTAAAAACTCCTATGTTGTTAGAAAGATATATAATAAATAAATAAAGCACGCCAAAAGATTGAACCTGAAATGCCAAGCATATATCATTCCAAATATGTAGTAATTATTTGGCGAAATACACTTGTATAGCCAAAACTATCACGCTTGTGCCCTTATAGCCACATTTGGCAAAATACCACTAATAGCCACTTCCGTCCAATTCTTTAACGATGTCAGTTAATAAGCTGGCTGGACAAACGGAAAAGCTGAGTTGGGAAGTTTCTCTATTAACAATTTTATGTTGGATTAATTTTAAAAAATAACAATAAAAATTAAAATTAAAAATAAAAAGAAACTGAAAATTCTCCACCCATCACTCCCTTTTCACTTTCCCCTTCTCTCTCTTCGCTTCTCTGTCGTCCGCCACACAACCCTAATTTTTCAAACCACCACCGCCGTCGACTCCCCCGTCGCGGCCCCGACACTGCTTCCCTCTTCGTGCTAGCTCGGGGTTGCCCAGCCGCAATACCCTCCTCTTCGACAAGAACTCCATCGTCCCCGTCCCCAGCCTCCTCCCATTCTCCTCCGCCAGCAGCGGCAACCCTCCCCCACCTCACCACAACCATTGCCGCCAACGAACCCTAGGCAAGGGGTAAGAATCATCCTACTCCTCCGATGGCGACGGAGACTCCGCCAAGTTCGTGCGCAACGACGGGATCGACTTATTTGTGTTGCTGCTTGACGACGTCTTAAAATCCCCCATTCCAAATAGCCCATCTCTAGAGCTGGAATGCCGCCAGAATAAAATCTAGCTATGGCGGAGACAGAGCTTGAATCTGAGTCGATAACCACCGCCGCCATTGGATTTTCGAGACCCATCTTCCTCTCCGTCAAATCAAAAAATGAAAATCTCTTCCTACGGCGGCGGATTCCTTGGTTCACAGAACATCGGCGAGTTCGACTACGGAATCAGAGTCTCCATTGGCATCCTCCTTCTATTCACCATCATCACTCTCGCCTTGTACTTCTGTCGCAACACTATCCCCCTTTGGTCGGTTCCACCCAGCGGAGATCCATAGCCGCTTCCACCTCAATGCGGCTCGCTACAGGGGTTGAGTGGGAGGAAGAAAAGGAAGAGGGGAAAGATTATGTATTTTTATCTTTTGTTACCCAATTAGCGAGAGTCCATCTCACTATTTTCCCCAAGAATGGTAGAGGATTTTTAATTTATTTTTTTATTATATGATGTGTTATTATTTGTGTATGTGGCGCTGACATGTCACTATTTGCTTATGTGGCGCTGACGTGTTCGATGAGTTAGTGCCTTGTCAACAAACCGTCAAAGTATCTAACGGAAATGGCTATATTTGGCACAAATGTTTCAAAATTCTGGCTATAAGTGGTATTTCTCCAAATTTGGCTATAAGTGGCACAAGCGTGAAAGTTTTGGCTATACAAGTGTATTTTGCCTAATTATTTTTGCTGAACGTACATGATAGCTTAAAATCATCACAATCACGTAAAAATCCTAAGAAATTGATAAAAATAGTTAATTAAACGAACTCCGATGGGTCTATTAAAAACAAAATGACTTAGTTGTGACAATGATCAATCGATCAAACACTAAGAAATAGAAAATGGACATGTCTAATAAATGGCAAATTTAATGAATCAGGGGTGCGATTAAAAGCACCAGCTGCGAGTAGAAGCCACAAAGATGCATCCGCAATTTTTTATTTTTATTTTTATTTTTACGAATCTGCAGCCGCAATTTGATTGAAGATAAATAGAAAGGGTTAGGAAAGAGATGTTGTGAGTAGTTTCTGTTTAGTGTTTTATTTTGAATTATGGGTGCGAAGATAATGGAATAGAAGGGACGTGGACGGTGGAACGGGGAGAGGGGATATGGAAATGAAATGATTCTCAACCGCAAACTCACAAATAAAAGAGAAAAAAGTAATAATAAAGGGGGGGGGGGTGTAAAGTTACAGATAAAACCCTCCGATTTGTGCGGGTTGAAGCGCAGGAGCTGATGTGGCAATTGCTTTTTGTTGACATTGCCATATAGGTATTTGTAGATTAAATGGAAGAATGGAGTATTTACCAAAAGAAAATTGGAATAGAGTTGAAGTTCCAGTTAAGTGGTTGCAATATTACAAATTCCATAACTAAATTAACAATTTCCAAAATAATCAATTCTCTCCAAAAATATTTACGATTAAAATGAGCTAAATTCTGTTTTCATGGAAATGATATTTCATATCTGGTAATGTTATATCCTTGTAGTTGCTTAGTAGAAAATGTATACAAAAGCGTTTGTTGATGATGAATATAGTGTAGGTTATGATGGAGATTCTTGTTAACAAAGAAGTTATACCTGTCATTTTTTAATACTGTTTGTACCATCTAGCTCCGGTATGAACAATGATATTTGTTGGTGTGGGGTTGACTCACGATCCGTTCGTCTAATCTCGTCGGGAGGGAAGAAATCTGTGAAAGAGCCGGGGATGCCCCGCGGATTAAGCTCCGACGATCAAGTTAGTTTCAGTTTCATAAGAGAGTTGAGAGAATAAGGTAGAGAGATGAGATGTAGAGAGATAGTTGAAAATAGAAAGTGAGGAGAGAGGCCGAAGTCCCTTCCTTTGGGGGGCTTCAAGCCCTTATATACCTGTAGCGCGTATCGCGCGTCGCGCGTCGGCGATTGTGCGCCCTATTACTTAGTCTGTGAACGGAGTATTTAGTAACACCCCCAACAATTGCCCCCCCAAGTTGGTGGTGAGTCTTAACTCATCACTAGCTTATTATTATTTTTTTAAATCTTCGTCGGTAATTTTGGATGGAGCCCTATGTACCCCAGTTGCCCTCCAGCTGGTGGCGCGTTTGATTGACGCGGCGCCAGCTTCTTGCGTCTTGCCCCCCAGTTGGTGTATCTCATTAAGGCGTGTAGCCTTCACCCATTGTAGATTCTTCGTGGAGCTCTCCTCGTCGGGGTTTTTTAACCCTCAGTTTGGAGCTCTCCTCGTCGGGGTTTTTAACCCTCAGTTTGGAGTCTTCAAGGCAATGTGCCCTCTCCTCGTCAGGGTTTTTAACCCTCAGTTTGGAGCTCTCCTCGTCGGGGTTTTTAACCCTCAGTTTGGAGTCTTCAAAGGCAATGTGCCCTCTCCTCGTCGGGGTTTTTAACCCTAAGTTTGGAGTCTTCAAGGCAATGTGCCCTCTCCTCGTCGGGGTTTTTAACCCTCAGTTTGGAGTCTTCGATGCTCTTATTGAAGTCTTATTTGGGTGCTTCGTTGAGACTTATTTGTAGCTTCTTCGATGCTCTTATTGAAGTCTTATTTGTGTGCTTCGTTGAGACTTATTTGTAGATCTTCGATGCTCTTATTGAAGTCTTATTTGTGTGCTTCGTTGAGACTTATTTGTAGATCTTTGATGCTCTTATTGAAGTCTTATTTGTGTGCTTCGTTGAGACTTATTTGTAACTTCTTCGATGCTCTTATTGAAGTCTTATTTGTGTGCTTCGTTGAGACTTATTTGTAGATCTTCGATGCTCTTATTGAAGTCTTATTTGTGTGCTTCGTTGAGACTTATTTGTAGATCTTCGATGCTCTTATTGAAGTCTTATTTGCGTGCTTCGTTGAGACTTATTTGTAGATCTTCGATACTCTTATTGAAGTCTTATTTGTGTGCTTCGTTGAGACTTATTTGTAGCTTCTTCATGGAGGTAGTCGAGTGCTCCCATATGTCGCTTGATTGAGTTTCTCATCTCCCATGTTGTTTGGTACGTCTTGCGCCCCATTAGCATCATTAACGCCCATGAAAGTAGATTTTTTTTTTAAATTTAATATTGATAGAGAGATGGTACAAACAATTGGCGCCCTCTGTTTCTTGAGTCTGAATATTAGCCGGAGAAAGCCCATAACTAATAGTTTGTTGATGGATGCCGAGTGGGTTTTGTGTTCTCGAATTCAATTGGCGAAAGAGGTGAAGAAAAAACAGAGCGAGGGAGCATGGGAAGAAGATGGAGAAGAAAAGAGTGGATAAAAAAAAGATGACTCCTCAGCGTTTTGCCCTACTCACGCTCACCTCCATATTTGACCAGAGGCGGACCCGCTTGAGCCGGCCCATAATCCACGTGCGGCCGAGACCATACGACGGGACCCGCCCAATGCAACACCATCAACTCGCGGCCCACTTGCACGGGATAAGCCTAGATTTGAACCCGCGTCAAAGCAACAAACACCAGTCATTGGGCCGCACAACGCGAGCAATGGGCTAGCCACGCCCCACATCTGGCCCGCTTCACATCCATCCTTTAACTCCGCCCTCACAAAAAACAAAAAAAGAATGCTCCCTACAGGATTCGAACTCACGTCATGGCATTACAAATCAAGCATGACAATCGTGGCACCATAACCTATGCTGGCGAAATGATCGCCTCGGGTTTTACCAGGTTAGACCGATTTGGAGATCGCCTAGAAGAACTCAGCGATGTGTATGCGAACGTAGTTCAAGATTTGATCTGATCACAGTCGGCTTTGGTAGTGTGAAGTCGCTCATGTTGCATGCAAGCATCCCTGCGGTAGTCAGAGAAGCCAGAGGCCTGACCGAGGATCTCATACGAATCTGTGGATGGAGAAAATTCAAAATACTTTTTAGATAGTAGAAAGTGGAAAGTGAGGAGAGAGAAGACTTATTTGTGTGCTTCGTTGAGACTTATTTGTAGCTTCTTCGATGCTCTTATTGAAGTCTTATTTGTTTGCTTCGTTGAGACTTATTTGTAGATCTTCGATGCTCTTATTGAAGTCTTATTTGTGTGCCTCGTTGAGACTTATTTGTAGCTTCTTCGATGCTCTTATTGAAGTCTTATTTGTGTGCTTCGTTGAGACTTATTTGTAGATCTTCGAGGCAATGTGCCCTCTCCTTGTCGGGGTTTTTAACCCTCTTTATTTTTTTCCTTCTTCATTTTTTTTTAATTTTCCATTTGTTTTTTTATTTTCTTTTTCTTTTTTTTTAATTTTATTTTTTCTCGTCCGTTCCTTTATTTTTTTTCTTTTTTGTAGCTTCTTCGATGCTCTTATTGAAGTCTTATTTGTGTGCTTCGTTGAGACTTATTTGTAGATCTTCGATGCTCTTATTGAAGTCTTATTTGTGTGCTTCGTTGAGAGTTATTTGTAGATCTTCGAGGCAATGTGCCCTCTCCTCGTCGGGGTTTTTAACCCTCTTTTTTTTCCCTTCTTCATTTTTTATTTATTTTCCATTTGTTTTTTTCTTTTCTTTTTTCTTTTTCTTTTAATTTTTTCTCTTCTCTTCTCTTCCGTTCCTTTCCATTTGTTTTTTTTTCTTTCCCACGGTGGGCGCCAATTGTTTGTACCATCTAGCTCCGGTATGAACAATGATATTTGTTGGTGTGGGGTTGACTCACGATTCGTTCGTCTGATCTCGTCGGGAGGGAAGAAATCTATGAAAGAGCCGGGGATGCCCCCCGGATTAAGCTCCGATGATCAAGTTAGTTTTAGTTTCATAAGAGAGTTGAGAGAATAAGGTAGAGAGATGAGATGTAGAGAGATAGTGGAAAATAGAAAGTGAGGAGAGAGGCCGAAGTCCCCTCCTTTGGGGGGCTTCAAGCCCTTATATACCTGTAGCGCGTATCGCGCGTTGCGCATCACCGATTGATACCATTTTTTTTTGTTATTTCCATGACATATTGATATGTAATCATGGAACCAATATAACTATATAGGAGAAGAGAAAAAATAATGAGATTTAAACTAGAAACATTTGTTAATTATTGTTATCATATTGCAACTGGCTCGCTTAATGGTGAAACTACGAAATGACCTTGATATTTTGTAAAATGAATACCACTATTTATTAATTCGCATGACATTGCCATACAATCATGGTACAAATATTAAGAGGAGCATATTACTGATATTAAAACTTGAAACCCTTGTGTTAATTATTGTTATCATATTACAACCGGCTAACGAGCCGGGTTACAATCTAGTACCCACACGAATATTACTTTATATAACTCAGATTTAGTACAAAACTTGTATTGATATTGAGATACCTGACCGATCCAGCTCGCCCACCGTTTGCCAATTACAATCCTTAGAAGACACCCAAGACTTCTAATCTTCCGTTCAAGGGTGCCTCATGGGCCATAGGTACCATTTAAACCTTGATTTAGTGACATCTTAACTGCCGACCCACAAAGTCGTTTAGTAACTCTTACATGATACCTAATGAGGAAGAAACTAAACTATCAAATATCCTTTATGTGATTAGCCGATTACTTAAGGAAACGTCTAATTTTATTTGAGGAAACTGCAAATTGCAAACAAACTATCGGTTCTTACCAACATTCCCAAGTTCCCAACCACCTACTAAAACATTCCTATTGACAGACTTTACCAAATTTATCAGAACTGATTCAGTTTTCTTAACTTGGATCCTCTACAAAGTGGACGATGCTGCTGCTGTACAAATCGGCTGCGATTCCGGTGATGATCCGTTTGCAGAAAAAGTCTGAGTGTTTCATCTGCATTCCCAATGAAATCCCTTCTTTCTGCATCTAATATTTGAGCATGCCTCTCTAGTTTTAGTCCCATTGATTCTCCCAGTGGAAGTTCCAGGTCGACGGATTCAGAGTCCTTTTCCCATCGGCAGCAACGAGATCACAAGGCGAATCCTCTGGGAACTCAATTGGCATGGATTTCCAATGCAAAGAAGGACTCCATTCTGTTGCTTCTCTCAGCACCTTGAGTATCTCCTTCGCCACTATTTTGCTTCCTTCTGAGGATAAGTGAATCCCATCCCTGGTTAACAAGAGAGCAGTGGTAAATGGCTCAGTAAATGTTTGCAGCAACAACGTTTTCTCCTTGAAGATAAAGAAGGGATGAAATCAAAAGCAGAACTTACGTGAAGCATGCAGTCTGCCAGTTGCTTATCGTTTGAAGTGCAGAGTAAAGATCAACGACCTTTATGTCCAGTTCCTCGCACAGCTTTATACATGCATCTGAGTACTTTTTGCAGAGTTCATTTGTCCTAACCAGTTCGCTGAAGTATGCACTGGTGTATGAAAAGCAAAGGTGAAACAGGATTTCAGAGCTCGAGCTACCTCAAACACCAATGCGATTTTTGAGGTAGCAGCTGAGTGGTGATGATTTACCTTGCGTTTGAACGAACTCTAACCTCATCAACTGGAGGACAACTGAGGAAAATTATGCGTATAGTCTTCGAAAGGCTCTGACATTTGGTTTAAAAAAAAAAGGACTCATGAGCAGGCAATTTTAGGTACAGATATGCTGATAACAAATGGGGTTGAAGGGAGAAAGGACCTTGAGATGAAGTGCGATCTTCTTCATGTTTTCCACATACTCAGGAAGTGGAACATGAGGGCCTAACCCAGAAGAGTGTGGCCCCATTGAATCGTTCCCCCCAAAGTACACAATTACTAAAGATGGCTGCACACTAGCATCCTGCACAAACAACCAATTTCTTCATCAGAGAACCACCAAACCATATCTACTTCCCCACAGAATGTACAGAGACAATATCTGTAAATGAGAAATTACACAAGCTATTCTTGCGTCTGATCGATCTGGGATGCAAAACCATAGTTCAAAATGGTATAGAAAGACCCAAGACTAGATCTCATACTATACTCATTTAGGTGGTCAAGTTGGAGACTTTGATCAGAGTAGTATATACTATATACGATACCTTGGGGAAAATTTCGTCGAGCACCTGAACTGCACGTCGCGAGTTCCATCCATAGTACCCTCGGACGAAGACATCTGCCTGCAAATTTGCAGAAAAAGAAAAAAAATCTTATTCACACTCCATACAGTAAAAGCCAAAAGGCAAAACAATCGTCCATCTCCAGAAAAACTAAGTAATGGCGTTCACGAAAGAGGAGGGTTTCCAAGCTTGAAGTGCGTTTCCACGGCAACACATAACACTACAAGACCATTCACTAATCACACAAATCAAATCTTGAATGCTCCAATCGCTCAGGGTTTCGATTACTCCTCCAGTCATCCCTAAGCATGTGAATACAGAGCTCAATGTAACATTATGCTTACTACGGGAAATTTTTTTTGGGGGAAACTAACTGAACTGGAAAGTGAACCGTTATATTCACCATTGCTCTCGATGGTCAGGATGAAAGAGAAGAGAGACAGGGAACGGTGTGAAATTACCCTGCGAGAGTAGATTTCGGAGAGAGAGGAACCCCAACCACCATTGCCGAAGCTGAGCTGAACGATGGAGGAGCCGAAGAGGACAAACTGCGGCCTGGACGGTCCCACCATTCTCTACGTTTTGTACTGAACGTATTCACGCCGGAAGGACGTTGGAGATAATCGAGAGTCGTCGGTGATCGGATTTTCCCCCCTTCCTCAGCCGGACATTTCTTCCGAAAATTCTCCCTCTCTTCTCTCTCTCTTGTGGCGGAGGGGAAAGATACAGCCGGCGTTAATGGCGTGGCCTATAAATATTTGCCTCATTACCCGGAGAAAGAGAGAAAAAGGAGTCCGGAAGCAGGGGGAGAGCTGATGAGTGAAGACAAGTTAGTGAGTGTGTTTAATTTTATGGTTTTGCCATTTTCTGCAATTTCTGGTTTCCCAAAAGAGCCACAGCAAGCTGCATTTACTCATGCCATTACCAGCCAAGTTCCATGAAACCACACTTACTTTGCTTCCTAAACCTCTCTAACCATCTCTGAAACGACCAAATCAAGACAACAACAAAACAAATTAGCTATAGGGAGTTTGCTTGAGTTTAGTCATTTGGTACGAAATGATTCGTTTATTAGTGGAAAAAACGTACTGAGTCATGGTTTCCGTTCTCATTATTTCGTCTCTCTTCGGAATTTTTTTCTTCAAATTCACAGGCGAGGAAGAGGGTCATCAATCTCGTTGTCTCCACCAAGTTCTCTTCACTTCAGCTTGTTGTGTCAGCGCAACTGTCCCCTTCAAGAATGAATCGCAACTCACTCTCTTAAGCATCGTCGTGTTCTCTTCTGCACTGTTAGCAACCGACACACGCCAACCCAGGATCGAAGCCTCCCTCTCGCCAATCATCTACTCATCGACGCATCTTTTCACTCACAAACCTCGTCATTTACCAAGCATTCGCCATATAATTATTTGTAATTACTATGAATTCGAAACGTCAACAATTACGCCTTGTTCGATCCAAAGAAAATCATGAAATCGTAAATTCAATTCCACGCCATGCTTCAAAACGGGAACTGCACCTAACGCAAGCTTGGGGGACGTTGAACGGTAAAGAGGGAATTGAAAGCTCTGATGGCCAACTACACAGAAGTAAATATGTCCTTGTGATTACAACAGTTGATGGGTGCCGGGTTAGTGCGTGTATTCAATTTCCATACGCAAGAAGATATAGTACGAGAGATTTTGTTCGTATGGGTATGAACCCTTTTTATATATATATATATATTTTGTTTTTACTGCCATTATATATTGCCACGAACTACGTGTAATTTCGAGGGACATATATTCGAGTATCCAATAGAAGGTGCTGGTAACAAGTTACTAAAATACGGTACGGGAAAGTTACGTACAAAATATATATGGGTATTTTACTTCGTCTTTAAGTTAATGTTACGTTTAATAGTACGTTAATATTTATAAATATATATAATTTAATTATTTTAAAAATAAAAAGATATATAAATAATAGTAAAATTAACAATTTAGTTCATTAAATCGGATATTAAACGTGTTATACGGGTTTTATACGTGTTTAGTACGGGAGCCATCAAATGAACTGGAAAAAATGAAACGAATTGACAATAATACGAATACGAAATTTTTAAACAGATAAAATACGTACGAGTACATATACGTGTATTAAACGGAGTATTGACTAAGTATGGCTGGGAACCATGGTTGTCATGCCAGTGGTATGCCGGCCGGTTGAACCAGGTTCAACCGGTACCGGTCATGAAACCGGCTGGAATACCACCGGCATGATGCGACAGTCAAAACCGGTCAATTCCGGAAATACCAGTGGTTCAACCGGAAGGGTAATTTCCGGTTTCTTATCATTACGTCGCCGTTCTCGTTTTCACAGACTGAGATTGTTAACAAAAAAAAAAAGGTTCAGTTTTCTGTAAGTGGGATTCACCCCACTGGTCGTCGTTTTCGTTCCGCTTTTTTCCTCTGCACTCCGCCTGCTCGCTTTCTCCTAGCGACGAACTGATCGGCGACACAACTTGGTAGGCAGGCGCGCGGCGGAGGCCAGTACTCGGCGCGGTGGATGAACGCATGAGTGGAGAAGAAGTGGCTGCTCCCTCTGCGAATGTCATACCACTCTCATTTGAGCGCTCTCCAAAAAGCCTGTATGCTTCTGGTTCTAATTGAATGTTATGGGTTGATGTTCGATGAAGCAATCAAATTGCTTTTGGTAAGTGGAGGGGATAACAGGGAGGGGGATCCAGGGAAAGTGAGTAATGGTGGAGGATTCCACTCAATTACCCTCTGTTTCTAAAGGGTGGAAAAGGAGGGGAGGGAAAAGATTGGGAGGAAAGTTGGAGTCCCAATGCAATTTCCCCTGTTTTTTTAAGATAGAAACAGTGCAAGGGGAAGGAAAAGGAGTGGAAAAAGTACTGTGTAACCTTCCCTTCCAATTTGGAGAGAAAACGAAAAGGGAGCTCTTTTTCCTTTTTTTTTTAATTCTGACAATATCTCTCATTTCTCTCTTTTTCCTTTTCGTTCTTCTTTGTTGAATTACTCAATTAATTTAACGTAAGAACCATTGTATTTTTATTTTTGTTATGTTGATGGGGATTATAATCTAATTATTAATTGATTGATGTTAGTAATCAATAGTTTCATCAAACTATATTAGTTATTTTACTCTAACCATGGTTGTCATATTGATGGAATGTTGGCATTTTCTCGCCTCAATTCATTTTTACCCCACTTTTGAAGCTAGTTGTATTAGAACAGTAATTTGGAATTATTTTAAGAGATACCGTAGTTTGAGTAATTTTTTTTCAAAAACAATATTTATGAAAAAAATCCAAACGACATAAATCACAAACTACAAATTCACTGTGTATTTTATGTGTTTAAAACTCTCATTTTGCATAAGTTGAATATTAACATACAATCAAATTATTTTAATATTATATAACCACTAAAATAACATATTCATCACACTTTTCAATACTTATATTTGGGTGAACTTTCCCAATTCATTATTTGGGTGAAATAGAACTTGAATTGAAATAGAACTTTCCCAATTCAATTGAATGTTTTTATTTACATTTTATAAAGATTATTTAAAATTATGATATTTAGATTTGTATTCAGGAATTTTGTTATAACCGGTATAAACCGGCGCACGTACCGGTTGTACCACGGTAGAACCATTCCACTTGTGAAACCGGCGCACCGGCATAAACCGGTTTGACAACCTTGATATTGAGGTGAGTAATGAGTATTACTTTCAAACGATTATGTTTCGCTTTTGATTTATTTTAACTCAATTTGCTCAATATTTATTTGTATTTCTCTTATTTTGTATTTTCTTCAATCATATTTTAACTTTTCTAAAACTTTAAATTGGTGCACGATTTCATCTTTCGGCTAGTTAGACTCAATTATTTATTCTATTATTACTGTTTTTCATTCATATAGCATTTTCTCCATTTTATTGGAAAGAAATTACTATTACTTGGAAAAAAAAATGAGAATGTTGCGGACTTGCCCTAGTACAAGCTCCTCTTTTCATTCATAAAGTGTTTACCAACCTGACTCATGCTTGGTGCAGGACGGATTTGAGTACCGAGATACTCGGCACGCCCAACACATTTGCCATCACTATTCATGATATGAAAGAGAGGAGAGGTGAAAGAGGAGGTTGGCAACCATCTATTATCCACAGGTGTCCACGGCAACCCCTGAAAATTTAGAGAGAAAAGGGAGAGCTCTTCAAACCAGAAAGGGAAGGATTGTTTTTTAAGAGGTATGCATATTTTGAGAAAGATAAAACTATTCACAATTTCAAATAATCGAAACAAAATTATTGATTGTTGGGTCGAGTGTTAGATCATAAAGATTAATGACCCAATTAACACGTTACCACATTTCTCTCTTCTTTTCTAGTTCTCCCACATAATCATTTCGATTGTCATTGACTCATTGTTCCCTTTGGAATTTGAAGTACAAGTTGGGCTAAATCCAAGGAAATATATCCAGGGCCGTCCCATGATATTTGGAGGCCCTGTTCGACAATTTAAAATATGGCCCATAAACTTTTTTCTTCGCAAATTATTAAAAATAAAAATTAGATAAGTTTAGAAAATAATTACAAAAGTAATAATATTATCTATCATTGTTCAAAAAGTAACAATCGTCTAGTATTATTTAAAATAAAATCCTCTATTAGCCCGTTCATCTTCTCGGTATCTTTTGAAAAATGAAATCAATCCATCTATTTATAAAATAACATAATCAATAAGCATATCTTTGCATTGTAAATATTTACTAACCGAATTTGTTGAGTGCAATATTTAATACAAAATAACTATTGAAACAATAACCTCAATATCACCAAGTTCATTTTGTGCCAAAGATTTAGCCTCACTTCTAATTCTCGAATTGCCATCAAGATCGACTACTAGTATCCTAGCTCCTCAATTCTCTGTTTTCTTTTACGCTTAGAACTACCTTTTCAAAATTTTGGGTTGACATAATTAAAAATCATAATCAAAGATTAATGATTTCAAATTTTCAATCAATATTAAATTCCCTACAAAAGAAAAAAAAAGGTTGGAACTTAAAATAAGTTGATTAGGAGCCTGGATAGTAGGGATGGACATAGATTAGGAGTTAATTATAATTGAGTGTGAATAATTCATATTTGGCGTTGGATGGTTTTGGGAAGTTGAGAAATTTTTGGAAAAAAGAAGAAGAGAGGCGTTAATACAATAACAGTTAATTGTACCTTGTAAGACATCAAACAAGCTCTAGCTTAGTGGTTAATTCTCCTTTTAATGATAAGGAGATCAATGGTTCGATTCCCTTCCATGGCAGTTGCTACATTTGGTTTTTGTGTGGGATTTGTTGCCAGCCCAAGTGGGCCTCCGCCTTGCCAGACTTGTTGCCAGCCCAAGTGGGCTTCAGCCTTTGCCAGACGAAGTGGCCGAGAGTTGTTGCCCCAAAGTTGGGCCGCCGGACTACTGAATTATATGTAGGCTTGCCAGTCGAAGTGGGCCTCAAGACTTATTAAGAGGCCCCATAAAATTGAGGCCCTGTGCTGTGGGTCTGACCAGCACAGGGTCTGGGCCGGGCCTGAATATATCAAACTCTCTTATAAACTGCCCACAATTACCAGCGACCTCTTCACAATATTGTTGATGAATTCTTGTATCATTCGATCTCATTGGAAAGATGGCCCGTTCTGGTCAATTCCAAATCGAAGAATTTAGACCGCGAAAAATATGTTGTGGTCATCCATGTATATCTCGCTGCAGCACAAATCTCTATGTTGAAAAAT